CAGTCTGCAACAAGGAAGGTGAAGCACAGAAATGATCCCGAAAGACAGGTTTGCAATTGCAGCGAGCTTCAGCTTTGCATGTGGTCATTCCCTTCCAAGCCACAGTAAGTCAGTAAACATCTTTCCCAGCGAGAAATTAAGGCAGGAGTCAATGCACGCCTAAACCCACTCCAGCTGACTTTCCAGCAACAGCTGCTGAACTCCGTTGCTGGAAGTATCGCTTCCCTCTTTGGCGCACGCCACATCAGCCCGAAACCGTTCCTACTACTCAACGAGGCCGAGGAAAACAGCAAAATGTTCCCGCCAGAGAGCGTGACGTAAGCGTTGGATTACAAGGCTGGAAGTGATGTTAAAAAAAAATATAAAATAGTAAAATCCCAAACAAGCCAGTTGTCAAAAAAACCTACCTGAAATGGTTCTCTGATCCTTCCCGGGAGGAAGACCCCTCTTCTTCCTCTCCTCATCCGACACTTCCAGCCCTTTCTGCGGAGGGAACGGCTTCAGCAAGTACTTTGCCCTCAGTTGAACATTAACTCACAGAACCAGCTTCGCTGATGAACCTTCCGATTAGGCGCTGTGATTCACTCTGCCCTGCTACTGACGCTGCCCTGCTAATGGAGCGCCCGGCAGCCTTCGCGGGCACAGCCCCGGCGTTTTCCGCGCCTGGCTCTGTGCGTCAGGGAACAGGGTAACATTTGGCTGAGCTTACTTAGGACAGAAAAAAAATGTATTTTGGATGTAAATGCCTTGTCTTTGACTCAACACAAATAATGTGAAGGCAAGGGGAGCACAAAATGCTCGGCGTCCGTGTACGTTTGCCATTAATTAAGCAGGGGTGCGTGAGCTCCAGCAGAAGCGAGGTGCCGGTGTCCTGCCCGCTGGCGGCTCAGCTCAGAGTGGCAATTTATAATATGCCCAAGAAAAGAGCTGGATGTTCAGCCTCAAGGAGATCTGAGGCACATTTGCATCTATCATTCCTCTTCCAAAGGCCAAGTCATTTGTATTTCTTAGCAGTGAGGCATAAGATGCTTATGGCCAAGGCACAGCACCCACGTGTGCAGGGTGTTCCGGTGCAGAATAAGCTCTGGGCTCAGGTGGAACATGGAATTTCTATTTTTTCCCCTTGGACTTTCCTTGCCTTATTCTGCCGGCACTGTGCTGACACGTACCCACTGCTACACCCACTCCCCGTGACACAAGCTGCCACCCTGTCATGTGTCGTACCTCCCTCCAGCAGCCACGGGCACTCCAAAGGGGAAATCTTGCAGTGCTGGGAAGAAACAGGGAAGTCAGCTCAGTGCCTGGGATCTTGCCAACCAGGAAAAGCGTGTGGTGAACAAATGACGAGGCCATATCTACTGGAGTTGCTTTTGGATGTGTGTTTGCATAATAAATAAAAATCCATCTGCCTTCCATCAGCAAAGGCTGGGGAAGATGCAAACCGTGAAACATCCCTGGAGATGCGGGCAGACTCTGGGAAGGCACCGTAACCAGCATGTGGAACGGGCTAAATACAGCACTGGAAGCTGCCATCAGGAATGTATTTTCTGCAGTGCTAACCAATTAGAGGGAGCAGACATTCAACTGGCATACAGGTTCCACCAATTTCCATAGTGCAGCTGCCTCTTCCCTAGAAACTCCCCTTTTGTAGAAAGACCTGTTGAAATTGTGCGTAAGAGACCTTAGGTGCTGGGACTGCAACAGCGACGCTGGGCTTGCACCACTGGAAGGACTGTGAAAAAAAGAAATACGGTCATCAAGGGCTTTATAGCTGCTGCTGAATCAGTGACATCCATTTTTATTTAGGAATAGCACAGAGCATACTTCTCTTTTACGCCCTTGTACCTCAGTATCTGCTGTTAAGGCTATTTCACAGCTGAAGAAGGGCCTGCCGCGCTGGCAGAGGTCTGCCTGTCACAAAACACCGCTGATCGACCGCTCTCAAAGCTGGCTGGGAGGACCGGGCTGGGGGAGCTGTGCCGGGGGGACCCGGCCTGCATCTGCTGCGGTTGCGTTGGCACTGCAGGACGGCGGCGGGTGTCAGACCCTCTTCTCGGGAGCCGTCCTTCCGAGGTGGTGGAAACGGCTGCGTTCGGATGAGGACTAGTGACGTGTATTCTCTGCACGCTTGCAATAACAGCTAATTGCTCTGTCCGACCCGCAGTTGAGCACTGCCGAATTATACTCGGTACGGAGCAGCTCATGCTGTAATGACCAGTTACAGAACAGTACTGCTGGATGGGACCGTAGCTTCCACCCAGAAGTGATGCAGTAGCTGAGCAGAGCAGTTCAGCTTCTACTTCTACTTCTAGCAAGTTTCTCCTTTCAAAGGTAAAATCTTTTAGACTAAAGGAGAATCAAAGCCACGCTGCTTTTAGCTGTTGGCAATCACAATCACCTCTCAGGGAGTCTTGAGTTTCTTTCAATGTACAAGAACAGCATTTGTTAACCAAGGAGAAAAACCCCAACATTTCATCGCAGACTGTTTGGAGTTATGCCAGAAGCATCTGAGGATGGGGAAAGCAGTCACGCTCGATGCTTTGATGCTTGCTGACAGGCACTATACCAGAGAAAACAGCACAGCATCGCTTTTCGAATTACGACGTTTGAATTGCTTTAACATAGTCATTCAAACACCGACACCGCCAAATGGACATCCGCAATGGCACCAGCTGTGTTTTGGCTGGTGTAGGCAAACACGTGAAGGTATTTAGAGCCAAAGCCAGAAAGAATTTGGCTACCGCGGTGCGTAGTCAAACTTCCAGTCACCAGAGTAGGACCTGCAGCCTCGAGTTAAGCTGCTGGCCTGAGCACCGAGGGATGGGAGCAGATCCCTTGGCAGAAGGTGGGCAGCAAAGGGATGTGATGTGTGACCAGCACAGTGATGTGTGACCTCTCCCGGCTGCAGAGGGAGGCCGGTGGTTAGAGCTGCTCTTCATCCAAGTACCTTTATAATCCCAGCCATTAATAATCTCAATGGTTAAAGTCAGTAGTGGAGACACTTGGTAAACACCTTATATCAAGAGGGGTGCCAGAGTCCACTAGAACTTCCTCAATACGCAGTTTAGGGTATTTTTCTGTTTGAGGTTACAACAAAAGGTGGAAAACACCTTCAAGTATAAACTCGTTAAAATCTGAAGATGTTCAGTCCTAGGAATTTAAAAAATAATCTAAGGGAAACTAACTGTCCATCTCTGCACCTCACCAATCCCCAAGAGACTACAAATTTGCACAAGATTTGCTAACTTGCACACACCAGGATTAATTCCATTCTGTAACGCTTATTTTTGATGATGTAGTGGTGGTGAGAGCTGTTTTGGAACCAAGGGCATTTTAAATGCATGAACTCAGAGGACTGCCTGGCATTTTGTCTGCACAGTGTTTTCATTTAGGTGTTGGAGTCCCTTTACTAGTGTTATAAAAAAGACTTCAGTCTCTAGGGAAAAAAAAATAATCAAGAACAATTAAATTCCCGCTTCCCTTGGGAATGGGAAACGCACCTTATGTGCCGCAATAAGATAAATCTTTTCCAAGATCATTCCTAGAGTTACATGCCTCATGGTGGGCATGACTTATCTTCCTACTCACAGCACTTTCTCAAGATGGGAACTTACTTTCCAAGCCCTGCGCAAATGAACATGCTGTGTTAATTTACACAGTGGGATAAGTAATCTATCGCTTCATGCTCAAGGCCTGCAGGCAAGACCTTCACTCAACACACTCCTCTAAGCCTCCCTGAAAGCCAATCATAAAGTACATAAGAGAATTTTATGCATCTCAGGAGATGATGGAAGCTGTAGTTCCTTGGTCCTCTAGAGAACCTCCGACGGAGAACCTTGCTCTAGATCTGTAATGAATTTTAGCAGAATGGGCCCCAAAATAAGCATTTTTTTAAACTTTCCATCTCCAAAGTCGAAACAGAAAAGCCTGAACTCAAATCAGAGAAGAGAAGGCTCCGGGGAGACCTTCTAGCAGCCTTCCCGTACTTAAAGGAGGCCTACAAGAAAGCTGGAGAAGGACTTTTTACCAGGGCATGTAGTGATAGGACAAGGGGAAATGGCTTTAAACTCAAAGAGGGGAGATTTAGATTAGATATAAGGAAGAAATTCTTCCCTCTCAGGGTGGTGAGGCACTGGACCAGGTTGCCCAGAGAAGTTGTGGATGCCCCATCCCTGGAGGTGTTCAAGGCCAGGTTGAATAAGGCTTTGAGTAAACTGATCTAGGAGAAGATGTCCCTGCCCGTAGCAGGGGGGTTGGAACTAGATGATCCCTTCCAACCCAAACCAGTCTATGATTCTATGATAAGTTACTCTGTAAGAGGAGCTACTGCAACTGCAGTTCCTACCACACTCTAGCATGACGCTTCAGCACTAAAACTAATTGTACCAACACAAGTACACCTCACAGAACCCACATTTTGACAGAGGTACCTGAATGGCACTGGTAAGGCTTTCTATCACAAACTTCACCCACTCCCATCCCCGCCAAGAAAAGGAAAAGCACTCTGAAACTCAATAATGAAGGGGGTCCTTCATTATCCTTCACCCACTATCATATCATCCAGATAATTCACTGGGTGAGGGGAAGAAATCAAGATAGCAGTTGGTGGGAGGGAAATACTCCACAACCAGTTTCTTTTAAAAATTAATTGTATTTAATATTTGAATACCTAAGACTAGCACTGCTAGACAAATTGCATGATGAATTCTAGTGGAATAAAAACATGACTTAAGTACAAAAGCCGAAGGGAAAAATGCTCACACTTTCCAGAGGCAATGAGGTATTTTAACTATGCAAAGTCTGAAGGTCCAAAACCATCTGCAGATCTTCCCCTCTGCGCTGTCATCTTTGCTGAATGTTGGGCATTCAATAGTTCTCTCTTTCTGTGTGTGTTTTTCACAAGGCCAAGGAAAAGTGCATAACCGTCCTTAAAGATGAAGAACTTACATCTGCCTTGCCACATTTTTAGACTTGTAGCTTTAAAACGTTCGACCGCTTTTTCAAGTCATTCTGATATACGGTGGAGGTTTGGATGCGTCTTCCTCTGCATCTAGGTCCTGGGCTGGAAACCGATCGGGGAAGTTAAAAATTCTGTCCTCAGGACCTGCATGGGGAAGGAAAGAGGAAATCATTAAATCCAGTGTTGACACTTACACAAAATCCTGAGTTCCTTTTGGCTCGGAATATTTTGGTTATCAGGATTTTGGCCTGGGATGTAAAGCTTATTCAGTATGTTCCTTCCACTTTCCCGGTGAATATCCAAATACACGGAGGAAAAGAGTTACTCACTTTGTACAGCGCAAACCATTTCCACAGCCTGATTTTGGTCCTCGCTAGGTTGCAACCATTCCTATGAATGAAACAACACCATCAAAATACTCATCTGTGAGTTTGGTCACGAAGATATACTTGAACTCATTTGAAAAGCCTGTATAGTCCACTCCTCCTAACAGGTTTTAGTTGGAAAGTTTAAAGCAGCCTCACATTACATGCTTAGTATCTTTAGTTAAGAACGCCTGCCTTGTAACTCGTACCCATTAATTCCTTACCAAATGAGATGGTGGGATGTATGTGCTCTAATACAGCATCAGAATTGCTCTAGTAGACAAGTACCTGTTATTTATTGAGCTCGTTAGCCGTGACACACAACATATGCCCCATCACTTGAGGTGGAGTCATCATAAAACTAGCAGTAAAACGTGGTGTGTCGTTCCTCCACACTTCACACACGGTACAGGGAATATTTTTATTATTAAATTTGTGGTTCTAGGGATAAAGCATCTTGGTCTTTGAAATGCTGTACCAAGAGAAATCACTGGTTTAAGGGTGTGGCAAGAAGGAGCAGTTTTTGAGGAGAGCAGGAATCCATAGGAAATGGGACCACAGTAGCTTCAGCACTAACGGTTTGGAAAACGGAGATAATTTATGCTGGGTCTAACACAAGAATGTAAATAAGAGTGGGATAGTAAAGGGAAAAATACGAAAAGGATAAAACCTTTCTAAGATCCACTTAATTTCTTAGAATTATCCCTGGGGTGACTAGGGTAGAGCTGAGGTTAGGTTTATAGAAGAAAAACACATCTTCTCCTCAATTTCTTCCCCTACCACCCACACTCAGTACAAATAAATGGGTGGCCCGGGCTCCTCACTCACCATCCCAGTTACGCTATCGTAGCATGAGCAGCGTGGAAGACTCCGGCATCCCAAGTAAGCCATCACCAGCACAACAAAAGCACTGCAGATAGATGCAGCTAACATGGCCACGTTAGCACCTTTCACTACTTTATTAAGCACGAACTTCTGTGAGCAGAAAAGGAAACAAAGCCACGTTGAAAAAATTAAGTTCTCCATCAAAAAATACTCCAATGACTGGGAAGAAAACTGTCATTGCACCCTAGGTGATTGATTCAGGGTCACTGTTATCTAAGGCTTTTTCTTCCTGTGCTCTGAAGAGCAAGCTGAGCGTGAACCTCAAATAAGAAAAGAGCAAGCAGTAAAATAAGGCTTCTGATTATATGTAATATGCTGTGGAACGGCATCAGGTTTGCAGATAGCTTTAACAATGAGTAGAAACCCAAGGAACGGCTACTCCTCTTCACATTGAACGTGAGAAATGTCACCTTGCTATACTGCACCTCAGCAGTCTGACGTTTCCATTTGTCCTGCGATAAACTAACAAACAGCTTCATCTACCTGGAACGTCTTCCTTCCCACAGGGAGCCATCGCTTGTGGCAGGCTTGAGGTACAGAAGGGCTAACTCATTCCTTCTTTTCAGCTTTACTGTGGGGCACACACTTGAAATAATACCCAGTTGTAACCAGCTGACCTGTAACTGCTGTAACTTTATCACCTGAGGTGCAGGCTGGAAAGGATCTGAGCCTAGCAATTTGCTGTCTCAAACCAGACCAGGGATATGGCCAGTACCTACCCCTTTTCCCGAGAAGCACCATGATTTTTTCCTGGAACAACCCAAACCCTTTTACACTCAGCAGCAGTTAACCCGGCTGTAGTGTGTTCAGGCGCACCCCTCGTGTGAACATCTCCGGGGATGAGCTGTTGCTCTTGAGCAGCTGCTTCTCAGACGGGCGTCCAGGCGAGCTGGGGGTTAGTTCCCATAGCCACTGACACTGGCCACGCTGCGGCAGCAGCCGAAGGCAGGAACGAGCTATAAAACATCTATCTAGCCCTGCATGGGTTTTGTGGTTTTCAGTACCTAACTTGGTACTTAACTGCAGACTCCTACAGATTTTTTTTGAACAAGTGCCCTGCTGCAGGCACCAGTTCAAACTCTAATTTAGGCACCCTGGGAGTCTGGTTTTACTTTCAAGTCATGCCTAGTAACATTTGCAGATTAAGATAGTGATATTCCCCAGCAATAAGCACGATATTGATACTTACTGTATGGATAACATGGACTGGGGCAGAGCTCAGCTCCTCCTCTTCACCATAGTTCAGCGTGAGGGAGCTATAAACTATTACGATGAGGATGGCAACACAAGAGGTTATGGAAGCAACTATCAGCACATTCACCTAGACAACAAAATTAAAGGAGAAGGAGGAGGGAAGCAGGAATTAAGACCCTCCTCTGACACATCAATGCCACTAACACAGACAAAATGTACTAAGAAGCATTGTAGGTACTAGCCTCTGACCTCCAACAACACTAAAAAGTACCCAGTAGCAACAGTCACTTGGAAGCCAAACACAGTGCAGTAAAGGTCTCCACGACACCGAATTTCTGAGCTCCAACTGACTCCCAAACCTTAACCACGGGTGCTAGTTGGATGCAAAGACTTTGTTCTTTGACATCTCTTACTTAGGAACAGTAAACCCCCCCTTGGAGTTTACATGGCTGGAGAGACCCGCCAAGGAAATGCAAGTCAATTAACTTCTTTCCTATTTTAGTGTACACGATTCTCAGTAACAGGAAGGAACATCAAAAGAAACGCATTCAAAAGCAAATGTTTTTACAGATTTTTGTTTGTTACTAGAGCCAGCGCTTGTCTGCTACAACAGAAAGCGAGGGAATGCTGCATCCTTCTTTTGCTTGAGAATGCAGCAGCTTTTATGAAGCTAACTGAAGGAAATAAGCTCTCAATGCTGCAAAAGGATCGGTCAGCTCATTCCCTACCAAATTGCCCCAAAAACCTTTTGCCCCCACCCTGTACACGCGCAATCCCTCCCCCTTGCCAGGCTTACGAGAACTGGATTCTTCCTCTGAGAGGAAAACAAAGCCAGGACGCCTGGGACTCCCATCACCTGCAGAGCACAAAAGGAGCTGGTAACTGGGAGACAAGTATCAGATTCGGAAGATAAACTACTACAGAGCAGATGAAAGGTCCTCGCTTTCAAGGCTTGGATCGGAGTAACTCAGGTCAGAAACGGAAAGAAAATTGCTGATTTCTTCTGTTTTCCTCCGCAGCATCTCCTGAGGGCAGGACACTGTGTGAAACACCATTTGCCCACTCGCTACCCCCACGGCAGCAATCCTCTGACTGGCTTTACGGCTCCGGCCAAACAATAAAACTGATTAAATAAGTCCGATTCAAGCGCTAAAAATGCGTACTGCTTTCCCAAGTCCTTGTGCATCTTATAGATGGAAGAAAGGCATGACTGAAAGGAGACCAGCAGCCTCTGGATGGAAGAGCACTCCAGCCCAACTCCCTTGTGGCTCAGCTCAGCGGAGTATGAACAAATAACAGCAGGGAGTACTGAAGGCCAGGGAGTGAGGGTGCCCGCTGCCCGCTCCTCCTTGCCTTACAATTAGTGGCACTGTGCTATGGGACAGAGATCATCACCCAGATGCTCGTCTACCTGACGTTGGTGGCATCTCTGTGATCATTACACTCCTGCAAAAAACCTTGTCAATTGCCACCATGTCTTATTTTCTACATTATCCAGAAGAAATGTATTTTATTTAGCTCCTTCAGGGAGAAGCTTGCACTCTCCTGCCTACACCACGATGAGGAAACTTTTATTATCTGGGTTCAAAGCAGGAAACCAGGGAAGCGCTGGCAAAGAGTCCTGGCCTCCCTCCCACCCTCAAGCTGAGTACTAGGAGGTAGCAGTGGATAAAAAAAAAACAACTGCCAAACAAAGCATAGAAAATATAGTGCCACTTTACCATCCCAGCCCAAATTGGAGCTCTGGTTTTGCCCAGCTGAGACTCCATTCTGAAAATGCCGTCGATGAACCCGCTGACGACGCACACCATGCTGAAGGCGATCTGGAACAGCCCCAGCACCACCATGTTCCTCTGGTTAAAGATGAAATACCGGTAGCGATCCATTCTGCTTTGATTCACACATCAATCCCCACGGGCGGAGACGGGGAAGCAGCACCGTGGTCCCTCCAGCGAAGGGGAGAAGAGTTTTTCCTAGGCGGGAGAAAGAAGGATCAGCGCTCAGCGAGCACCGGCTGTCGCGCAGGAACCTGCGGTACGGCAGGACCACACCAGGAGTACAGAGTTCATCTCTTTCTCATCAGCAGCAGTGAAAGCGAGCAAAGGTGAGCGGACTTTTGAGAAATCTCTCACGCTGCTGCTAGGCAGGTGCCCGGGACACCGCTTCCGATGTTTCCGGCTAGAGGCGAAGGTAGTGAGCCTCACTTCAGACCTCCCTGCTGCCTTTCTTCCTCCAGGGTTTGTGCTGCCCAGAAAAGGAGGTTTAATTGGGTTTTGCTGCTAAGAGAAGATA